TGTTCGAGGCATTGGTGTCGCTGCCCGTGTTGATGATCACTGGTTTCCCTCTTCACTTTCAGAACACCACCAAAAACCACCAAAGTGGATGGGAGCATATTTGGGTCTTCGAATGGGGTAATTCCTGGCACTACTGAATAGTATGGCTGATAAGGATCCATTTAAGGATCCAGTGTACACATACTCTTTTGCTGGTAAGTGAAAACCTACTGAGAGATATGAAAGATGTCAATGCTTTATACATGAGGACTGATGCCGACTAGAAAATCTCGATATTACCTAAGAGCACTCTTTTACCTCAGAAGAGGATGTGATCTGCTTTGAATCTTGTAAAGGATAATACCAAAAACTGGAAAGCCACCACTCTCAAGAAGATGAAAGTAAGTCGATGTCCGAATATTATTGAATAGTTATAGACACTAACTTCTGCTTTTACGGATAGGAAAGGGTTGCGTATGTCATTGATAAGTCTGCAGAAGAGGATATCATTTCAATTGTAGACTGTGAAGACGAAGAAAAGTTAAGCCAATACTTTTATCGAACTTTCAACGATGAGGACTTTTTCTATTGCTTTTCTTGGGTATACGATATCCTTGATCTCCAGAATTCTTCCGAGCAAGGACGTTCCTTCATTCGAAGTAAGTATACCCAATCCCTAAAGGCTCTTATCCAGAAAGCTAATAAAAGTTGAAGACATATGGGCCAATCTTGCTACTAAGGTAAAGATTCGGACTGATTGTGTGCGTTCAACTGGAGAAAAGCACCTCATGGCTGCCAGGAAAATGAATGAGATCCATACCTTTTGGTATACGATGGCACACTTCCGCAATTCAGCCACCTCAATCCGACACTTGTGCTATTGGAGTCTTACGGAGTTCAAACGAGAATGAAAGAGGTTTGGCTGGCAACAGAGAAGAAAAAGGCTTAGGAGAATGATGAAACGTTCAGTCCTGCAGATGAGTGGTCAGAATCTGTCCTGTGCCTTGGACGGCCGACAGATGAGTCGAGCCGGGTGGTTGTCTTCTAGAATTAAGTACTCCTCACCACCTACTTCATTCCCGAATCCGATATGCGAAGGTGTGTAGCGGGCTCGTGGCCGAATGCCTGATTTTGTAGATTTGATGCCTGAATTATGCCTGATTTTAGACCGCCTTTCACAACGCGTATACCGTGTTTTGTAAACATAATTGAAGCAGCTCTCTAACCTGATCCCTTGAGGCCTTTTCGGCGCCCGCCTCACTTCGGCTCGGCTCTTCATCTGTCCCAGTCAGGGTATCTGGTGGTGCCACCAAGTTCACAGAAACTAAAGGTTCGGATCGAAAGGCAAGCAAGCGCGCTGGACAGCCTTCTTTCATGTCTCCCTACCTGCAGGTTGCTCCGGGATAGCACCGATTGCTCACTACAGCCTAGCGATCAATGATACGGAGCCGAAAGTCCAAGGATATCTTCCTTAGAATATGATAGCTACAGGGCATGGGGCCATGGCCCATGGGCACATATCTACAACCTAGCCCGCCGTCGCTACCTCAAGCATTACCACCAAGCTCCTCAAATTTTATGAGGCAAGTATGCTCCTGCAGGGGTATCAGTGTTGAACACGCGTCATTTCCGGGTTGTGCAAGTCAGGATGAAGTGAACATACCAGCATCTTAGGGAATCTATCGTCATAAAAAACCTCGAATCGAGCAGTGATCCCCGGTGTGATGTCTTCAAATCCAGGCGCGATCGTGGTGCTGTACTTGCGGTATATAGTTGCCGCGAGCGTCGTCATTTCGGCCATTGCCAAGCTGTTGGAAAGTGAATCAGCGTTTTGCACACCCACCACACAAAAGGAAACAGAGGAGGAAATAACGAACTGTAAACCGATGCACATCCTGCCACCGCTCGAAAAGGCCCAGAACCAGCGGTTCATCTCGGCCGCCTGCGGCCCCAGCCAGCGATCGGGGTTGAAAGTGCGAGGATCCTTGAAAACCTCGGGGTTGCGGTGGAGGGTGAATGGAGACATGCCCACGGTAACATTTGCGGGGATATTGTACCCGTCAATGACGGTATCGGCGATGCTCGATCTCGGCTCAAAAGTTGGCAAGGGGGCATAGAGCCTTAGCGTCTCCTTGATGACGGCGTTCAGGTAAATGCACTTGTCGCTCGCCTCGGCAGTGGGAAGGCCGTGGCCGTTGAGTGACTCCCCGGATAGTCCGAGGACTTCCCGTCTTAACTTCTCCTGAAAGACCTTGTTTCTGGGCTGAGAAAGGGACCATATCAGGAACATGAGCGTGTCGCTGGTCGTGTCGATGCCGGCCAGGAAGTGGTCTGCGCACTCTGAGGCGATCTCCAAGTCGTCCAGACCGTCTGTCTTGTGGGTCTGATGGTACGCCCAGAGGCGCTCGAGGATAGACGAGCCCTCGGCTTCCTCCAAGGGCCGACCCTCCTTCTCGGACATTTCCATATCCGACCGGAAGCTCCTATACGCCTGCAGCGCAAAATCTCGAATGCCGGTGTATGTGGCGGGTTTCTGCATGGGCAGCAGCGGCTGGACGACAGTCTCCATTGTGTTGGTGCGCGAATAAAGCCACTTCGTCACTGTATTCAAGTGCACGGTGAACCACGAAAGCTTGCGCCGAGACGGATCTAAGATGTCGCCAATCAGAGCCCGGTGCGGCTCCGAGCCTTCCAAAGCAGACGTGGACCCGTATCTGCCGTACAGGAACTCGGTGATGTTATCGAGGGAGTAGTAGTGTAGTGTGCTGAAGATCTCGCTCACGTGCCCTGGCTCCGCGTCGATGAGGGCCATGTACTTCCGCGCCTTCTCCTCGACCATGCTAGTAGAGGGCTCCTTGAGCATAGTGGATTTGGAGTAGGCGTGGGATAGGAGTTTCTTCCTCTGGCCGTGCTCCACCGCCGAGTGGAAGGTGAATAGGTTCTGGCGGCCATAGACGTCAAACATGCGGTAGAAGCCCGTTCGGCCGTACTTGCTACCGGGCCCGTAGATGGTCCGCAGCGCCGCCAGACTGTTGAACGAGACCTCGTCCGGGCCGATGCGGACGACAGGGCCGTATTTCTGGTGCAGCTGGTGGATTGTGCGGGTGCGCGCGCCTTTCCAGTCCTCGTATGCCAGTCGCCATTTTGTCAGGGCGAACGCCTTGGGCCCGGGCACCCGACTCAGGGGACTCAGAAATAGGGGATCGAGGAGTAGATATTTGATGAGGAAGAGGACCGGCGCCAACACGACAGCGATGACCGACAAGGATGCCATCTGGAACAGTTTCTCACACTAACTAACGCCACGAAATTGTCTTTTTGTAATCTTAATGGAGGCAAGTAACTAGCGAGCGGAAATTATAATAATAGAGGTTTCATAGACCTGTGTGTGCTTTCTGATTCAAACTCGTGATTTGGGAGGAGTATCATACGTAGTCCACCACCACCTGTACCTTATTAGATAACAGCTCTGATAAGCATCGCATACTGACGCTCTTTTTGGTCTAACCACAACCACTAAGACGACCCATAAAATCAGCATTTGTCCCCCGCTTCCTTTAGCGGGGGGCCCGATAGCGATATCGATAGCCTTCATGCTTATCAGGCCCCCGCTGGCGCTAATGTACGTTCGACAAGCTATGGATAAGCCTAATCTGCCAATGTCGGACAGTCCGACATTATGGATAGGGTTGACTGAGCAGGATACATTGTGTCCTGGTTCATCTTTATGCCCGCCCGACGATGACAGATACCAGCAGTACATTTGCAGGGAAGTATTCGGTGCTTCAGCCATAGGAGAGAACTCAAACTCAACACGACTCCATCTATCCCGTGTGCACTGTCGAAGCAATGGCATCTTCACCGACTCCTGTAGTCCTCATCACAGCCGGTAGCGCAGGCCTGGGCGCCGCGACCGTCCGTCTCTTCGCACAACACGGGTACCGCGTCGTGATTAACTACAACGCGAACGCGCAGCGCGCCGAAGCCCTGTGCGCCGAGCTTGGTGGCGATGGCCACGTCGCGATCCAGGCCGACCTGGGCTCGCGGGACGACGTCGAGCGCCTTGTGCGTGAGGCCTACGCGCAGATGGGCCGCCTGGACGTCGTCTTCTCTAACGGCGGCTGGACTCGCTTTAGCGACACGACGTCGCTGGACGACAACGCCGTCGAAGCGGACTGGGACCGCGCCTTCGCTATGAACGTCAAGTCGCACCTCTGGCTATTGCAGGCGGCGCGGCCGCACCTCGACGAGACCGAGGGGGCGTTCGTCACGACGTCTTCCATTACGGGCCTGCAGGGTATGGGGAGCTCGTTGGTACGTTTTATTGACCCCCGGGTAGTTCGGTGTCACTACCACGACGAGGATTGCGCAAGTGATCGAGAAACTAACAACGTCTTGTCGTTCAGGCTTATTCGGCTACGAAGGCTGCACAGCTACACATGGTCAGAGGCCTCGCCACCATGGTGGCGCCCAAGATCCGGGTGAATAGCGTGTCGCCTGGGCTGCTTCAAACGGTGAGGATTTCCCCGTCTATCTACCATGAGAGATAGGAATTAGGGCTAATCTTTTAATCACCAGGAATGGGCAGAGCGGTTTAGCGAAGAGCAGAAGGAAGCCCACAGGGAAAAAACCAAGCTGAAGAGGTTTGTCGCAGTCGAGGTAAGTTGGTTGTTTGAACCTTCAACCCTTCTGTCACTACAACGGTGTGTTAACTTATTGGCACCATTAGGATGTGGCCGCCCAGGTTCTTAGTCTGGCGACGTCGAAGAGTATGACTGGGGCAAACATAATCATTGATGCTGGATATACGCTATAGAACTAACAGATGGAAACGAAATAAGTAATTGCAAAAACTCTTCAGCTTCTCCTCCTCAATGTGGTGCGGTCGGTAGATGTCAAATCGTGGTGTATGCTATCACGGCTGGCTTTCCGGCTGGCTTTCCGGCTCGCTTGAGGTCATGCCAAAAGGGGGCTGGATGTAGCAGAAAATTTCATCCAGGAGCGAATAGTTCGTTGACTGGTCAACCGGAATCACGCAAGTCCTTATACCGTCTAGAAATCTCAGCAATCATGCCTCTAATCTTGTTCGCGGCCGGGAACTTGACGCCTAGCGTGTCAAATAAGGCAATGGCGAGGTCCAGGTCCTCGATCGCCCTCGTCTCCTTGAGGATGGTGACGAGGTTCTCTGGAAGCACCGTAGTCGAGTAGATGCGCGACAACGTTGCGGTGAAGAGGGCCAGCAGGTTGAGCCAGTTGTAGGCGAGCCGGTGTTGGCGGTGCAAGTTGAAGGCTTGGCGGATGGACATGGACGCCGCCTCGGCGAGCGTCTTAACGCGCTCGCGGTCCATGGTGGGCAGCAGCGGTGAGGGACGGTAGAGCATGGCTAGGTGGTAGTAGTAGTTGAAGTCGAACCAGCTGGTGCATAGGTGCGGCACCTGGTCATTGACGTCGGGCAGCGGGAACGGCATGTCGCGCCGCCAGTCTATGAGCTCCTTGTGCAGCGAGTGTAGGATGGCCTCGCGCTGCTCCGTGTTCAGGGACGCGGCCTGTCGGTTAGAATAGACCTGCCGGGTGATTTTGCCGGCGATCCTGCGGAGGGCGAGTATGTGAAGCGGAATGGCCATGAGCGATGGCTCGAGGGAGCTCGGCGGGCGAATGCCGTCGGGTGTGATATTCTCGTCGTCTACACTGACAAAGGGCTATGGTTCCCGTTAGTAGTCAGCAGGTGTTGCCTCTGGAGCACGGTCCACTAAGGGGCTGTCGCACCGTAATGTTGATATCATCATCGTGAAGAGCAAAGGGTCGGCCCAGCGCATTTGATACGACACTAATGAGTTAGTCAGTGGATACTGTAAGATAGAGCGGTATGTGGTACTTACCGATCCATCATGTAGATGGAGAAGAAGATGCGCTTGCGTCTCTGCTCCATGTCGACGGGCATTCCGGCGTAGATTGAGGACGAATGCAACCCCATGCCTACAGCGAGCCGAGCCGCCATGCCGACAAGATACCAGGTATCTACCGCTTTATGTTAGGACGTGTTCAACCGATGTCCGGCCCGATGCTACTGACTTGGACCTAGCTGGTTGAAGAAGGAGTACGAAACCTGTAACATGATGGCCTCCAGTGCAGCCTAGAGAGACCACAGTCAGTGAGTTACAGCTGTCAAGCGGATGGTTCGGTCTGAAGATTACGCACCATCTCGCCATAGGCTATGGCTTGCTCGAAATATTGAAGTGCCTTGGTGTAATATACCCTAGATTCGGACTCTTCTGACAATGAAACGGAACAGTACGCTGTGGACCCAACGGCGAGAACCATCCAGATGCGGAATAAGGTCAAGGGCGAGCACGCCGCCGCATCGTGCGGGTTATCACGGAGGCGCTGCAGGCTCTGCAGAAACTCGCCCCTGTGCAAGATGGGATATAGTGTGTGGGAATGAGCAAAGTAGAAGTTCACTAGTTGATCGATGTGTGACTGATCGCTCGGCAAATCCAGAGCCACGCCGACGTCGTTGGACAACCCCGTGATGTCTGCGACGACAACATCGCCAAACAGGAGCGGATGGGTGGAGACAGACTCATTCAGGCCCTCAAACAGGGAGGGGTCCAAGAGGTCCGAGGGGGAGTTGAAGTCGAATAGTGGCGCCCCGGCGTAGTTCGTGCCGCGGTCGCTAACGAAGGTGAAGTCGGCCTTATCCGGTGTCAGTCGGCGGAGAACGACCTGTGTGAGTCTTGCGAAGGAGATGCCCGATGTCGAGCCGAGGTGTCGCTCCGCCGTGGCTTCAAGTGAGAGCGTCTTGAGCTCGTCGACGAAGCATGGTGGAGGGGGTGGCGCAGGCGGTTCTGGGAAAAGCAAGTCGGCCAGGTTGCCGGGCATGCTCGTCGCAGTGTCGGACTCCTGCTGAGGCATGCCAGAGTCGTGATTCATTACCACCGTATTGCCGCCCATACTTGACTCTGTATAGGCCTGCTGATCATCGCCGCCGAAAGACAAGGGTCCTCCGTCTGTAAGCGGGGATGACATCTGGGCCATCTTCTTTTCCATGTCCTGCAGCTTTTTCTCCAAGCTGCGGACATACGCTACAGGGTATGATGCACTCTGGCAGTCGTCGTCGAGAAAGCTGCACCTCACATGGGCGACCCGGCAGTTCCTGCATGATGGCAGCGCCCTATCGCACCGCTTCTTCCTCTTATGACACCGGGAGCATGACGTCCTTGCTTCCGCCGTAGCTGTCTGATGCGACGACATTACCCTTGAACAAAACGATGGTATAGCCTATGGTTACATTAGGTAGGCGCCATAGGCGTAGCCTGTAGGTTGTCGATCCAAGATTGGAGTTGCTTATCATTTGGCTCCGTATATCTTACAGTACATACGTACCGTATCTTAAGTGATTGGATGACCAACCAAAGTGATTGGATAACCAACTACTCCGTACCTAGGTCACTTTCAGGTTAGGGAGTTTTATGTTGAATATCAAGATTGAATACATCGATGGATACACGGTTAAGTACGTCATCCAGAAGACCATGTGGCCACAGTAAGGTGGATACCGCACAAATGTGTATATTACCATTTGTCAGCAAGTCCCAGTGACCATACATTCATAAAAGATCCACCCGGAGCCCAGCTGCACCCCATATCCAGTTTCCCCGCGATAAGCGATGACCAGGCAGGCCGAGTCATGGCCGAGCATCTCCAAGTATCCCACGTGATTCCCTCCCGCCGCCTTTGTCTAAGCTACGCCGCAAATCCCCACACTAGAACTCAACCACGGCAACTGCCTTGACCTCGACGATCATCCGCGTATCAGGAAGCTCCCTGACCCCGATGGTGGCCCGCGCAGGCGCGCTAGCACGATCGGCAAAGACCTTGTTCCACTCCTCGTTCATCCCCGCGTACTGCGACTCCATGTCCAGGATGTAGACCACGGCGTCGATGACGTTGTGGATGCCTCCCTTGCCTCCCGAAGCGCCCTTGATGATAGCGTCGACGTTGGCGAGCACCGCAGCCGTCTGCTTGCGAATGTCCAGGGTGCGCGTGCCGTCGGCGTTCTCAGTGACGCCCTCCCAGGTGCCGTCGGGTCGGACGCACGCCGTGCCTGAGATGTAGATGGTCTTGTGCGTCGAGGTCGGTGGCGCGATGCGGGCTTGGGGGAACCGCGTCGGACCCTCGGGCAGGTCGGGATTGCTGAGGAAAGCTTGGCCGTTGGGAGACATTGTGGCGTAAGTCGTCAGACTGAGGATTAACGATGTAAGTTCGTGTTTGAGAGATACGAAAAGAAACAAAAGATTGACTTGTTTGGGTATGATAGCTGCAGTACATGACCTCGTCCCCTCTCAACTCTACTCTAAATACCCGAATTCTGGGCCAAGGGCACCCTCAACGGCCCGGGTAATCTATCATCGCTCATCCCGCCTCATAGTGATGCCCCATCGCGATATCGGGACGGCCGATCCGACTTTACAGATGCGTCGGGATTTCCGACACGTGATCACCAGGCCGAGTTCCGAAGCCTCCACTTGATGTGCCTGACACTGGGTGGGTGCAGCAGTGCGAGCTGAGACAATGGACTACCAGTGCCGCCGTCTGGAACTAACCAAATATACCAAGTGGTCACCTCAGTCTGAACAGCTGCGCCGAGACCTAGACGCCATATAAGAAGTTACTGCACTCAAGGCACACAAAGATGGCCGGCACAACGACCCAGCTCTATGAGATCCCCAACTTCTCCTTCCAGGATGGGACCACTCTACCTTTGGCCCGCCTGGCCTATCTCGACCTAAACCCAGATGCGTCGAAAACTGCCCTGGTCGTCACCTGTTTCCGCGGCCGGCTAAAGTCCACCTCGATCTTTGCCGACGGCGCGCTCCGAGATCACAGGATCATCGTCGTAGCGCTCTTCGGAAACGGTGAATCGTCGAGCCCCTCCAACACCCCGGGGTTCCCGAGCTCTATCAACTACCGCGACTGCGTCCGCGCCCAGCATGAGCTCCTCACCGTCCATCTCAAGGTCCAGTCGCTCGACGTTGTCGTCGGCTTCTCCATGGGTGGCCAGTGCGCCTACCACTGGACCCTGATGTACCCGGACCTCGTCCAGAGCGCCGTCGTCATCTGCTCCTCGGCACGGACCAGCCGGCACAACTACCAGTTCCTCGAAGGGCCGAAGGCGGCGCTGCAGAACGCCGTAGACTACGTTGACAAGGACCGCGTCCCGTCACCGGCGACGAGCATCTCCCGGGGTGTCCATGCCTTCGGCAAGGCCTACTCCGCCTGGCTGACGAGCGCCGAATGGTTCGAACAGCAGGCGTACAGGTCGCTCGGGTACGCGGCCCTGGGTGACTGGGACCGCGACGTGACGGGAGTGAACTATGCCGGGTGGAACCCCGACGACCTGCTTGCCATGCTGCACATGTGGCAGAGCGGCGACGTCAGCAGCTTGGTAGATAGTGAGGGCGACAGCAAGGGTGACGAGAGGTCATTGGAGAGCGCACTCTCGCGAATCAGAGCGCGCGTGCTGCTGATGCCATGCCGGACTGACCAGTATTTCCGCTGGGAGGCTAGCGAGAGGGAAGCCGGCTCTATCCACGCTGCGACGCTGAAGGTCATTCCGTCTGTTTGGGGCCACCTAGCAGGGGCTGGTGTCAACAAGGCCGATACGGAGTGGTTGGATCGAGCTATCACCGAGTTCTTGACAACGTAGATGTGGATTAGTCGATCTAGGGATCAAAATTCAAATCAAGAGAAATAGATCACTTGCCCACTAGTTTACATCTCTAGTTTACATCCCACGTGGGCTGGAATATAATTGTTTCGCAAGTCTTCATTTAAACATGTGAAAAGAAGCTAGCTGGATATCAACTCCCGTCCCCTTTCAAATAAAGCAGCCGCCTTGATAACCTCCTCATCCTTCCACCGCTTTCCAATGATCTGCATGCCGATAGGAAGACGGACATCCGGCCGCTCTGGCCGGCTGGAAAAACCGCAAGGCACATTCAGGGAAGGATGGCCAGTCACATTGAACGGGCAGGTATTGCTCGTCAAACCAATGGCCGGCGCAAGCCTCTCTATGACCGAGGGCGTCCTGCCCTCCTTATCCACTGTCTCGGGGTGGGGCATCGCAACCGTCGGCGCGCACGGCGCGATGAGCACGTCCAACTCCTCAAGCGCCCTATCGTACGCGTCGCGCAGCTCAAAGACCTTGCGGTGGGCCTTTGCCTCGTCCCCCGCCGGCAGGAAGCGCTGGGCAAAGCGCTCGCTTAGTATGATGTTGGTTAGTGCCGGATTGGCCGAGTTGAGGACCTCGTACATCTCCTGCGAGGGGGGCCACCTAGCCTTTAGGTGGGGAGGCAAGTAGGTGAGATGGCCCGAAGGCCTTCCCTGGCAGAGCCAGCTGGACATGGATGGCCTTGTCGATGCGGTCCAGATGACCGGACCTTCGCTGTGCAAGGGAACGGAGATCTCCACGACGGTCGCGCCAGCCGCCTCGAAGAATCTTCTTGCCGCATCGCGGACGGTGTCACGAACTTCGGGGGACACACCTGGGACGAGGAACGACTCCGTGAGAAGCCCGATCTTCCAGCCCTGACCTACATCGCTGGGCCTGGCCAGGACCTGCTGTCGGAAATCTGACAGGAGCTGACGGTACGGTTTCACCTGATCCATTAGAGGGGACTCAGGCGTCATCCGAGGATCGAGGCCGTCGTATCCCGCCATGACCTCGAGCAGCGCGGCGACATCCTCGAGCCGGGATGCGATCGGTCCCAGGTGATCGATCATGGGCGACATGGACCCCCCGCCGGTGTAAGGGACCAGGCCGAAGGTGGGCTTGAGCCCGTAGAGGCCGTTGAACGCGGCCGGGGTGCGCACCGAGCCAGCCTGGTCGGTGCCGATCGCCAGCTCGACCGTCTCGCCCCATGAGCTGCGACTGCCGTCATCCTGCTCCAGAGCCAGCGAGTGGGCGGCGACAAGGGCACAGCTCCCGCTGCTGCTGCCGCCTGCTGTATAGCCGTGGAGGCGGGGGTTGTGCACCGGCCCCGTGGCCGATGTGAATGATAGGGGGGATGCGCAGAAGCACTCACACGTAGACGTGCCCTTGATCACGGCACCGGCAGCCAGCAGTCGAGATACAACAGGGGCATCGATCGGCGAGATGGGAAACACGGCGTCTCCAGATACAAGCGATGCGGGCGCCCCGAGCGTCGTGGGCAGCGCTGCTACCGATATGTTGTCCTTGATCGCTACCGTGCGGCCTTTGAGGATATCACTGGTGGGATTTGCGGCGCGGAGGTCGCACCGGTGACTCCAGGCATTGAACGGGTTGTCCTCTGGTTTCGGCTTCCAATAGCTGCGGCTCGTGGAGAGGGCCTGGGGCTTCAGCGCCGGATGAATGTAGTCGGATCCATCTTCCACCTGCTTCATGACGGCCTCGAAGGACCAGAGAAGACGCAGATAATCATCGGCATCCTTGCCATTGGGTAATTCAAAGTTGAGCTGCGCTGCAACGTCTTTCAAATCCTCTGCTGTAAAGCTTGAGCTGAAATCGTAGGCTTATCAGCAGCTGCCTACCCTTGAAAAATAGAATTCCTCACCTTGAGCCATCGGACAGTGAGACAATCGACATCTTTGACTATTCTTTCTGATTTCTCTTGACTCCAAAGACCACCGGTACTGCTATTTTTATATCAAATAGGCTTGGTGGAACTAGTCGCAGCAGTTGGTTTATCTTATGTACCGTTTTTTAGGCAGTCAGGTTCTATATGGCCCAAAAGCACAAGCAGCAAGTAGTTACTTGTTTAACTCGTCAGTGAACATAGTGAACATAGTCAGCATATATCGTAGGTAGGCCCTTACTCATGGGGTGTTTTGTTGGGTACGATATCAAGTTACGTACACAGATGATTGTACTGGAGCGATTCGATTATCTACCAGTTAGATTAGACTAGTGGATGCGCTGTATTATTAGTGCAATCACGTCGGCAATGCCGACACAGAACACCGAAGCGCCCCGCAGATTATTACCGCTTATATGGCATCCACTTATTAGCTCCAAGACAGGAGCAAAGCAAGAAGTTGTCTGGACAGATAACCGTTGTGGAATGTGGGGAAATCGGGTATGTCTGCATGGAGACGATATATATCTGCAAAGGAATATAGTCTTGTTGCAGCTCAACTTAATTATAGTACTTGTACATGTAATTTACTCCTGGCCATTAGCAAGAAGAATACGACCACCGTCAACACAAAGTGACACCCCATCGACGTAAGCCTGTAGCTGTTAGTGCGGGGTTCAAGGGTTGTGGTTAGAGAGTAAGAGGAACGTACGCCGGCCCGGCTGACCAGATAAAGAACTGCGCCAGCAATATCATCCTCGTTACCCGCCCTCTTAGCGGGTACTTTGTCAAACAGGGAGCTGAACATGTTCCCTTCTTCCCCTACGGGATTCATGTTGCTAGGGACAACTACAAGGGTGAAGGATTAGCCATTACCGTACCCATGAAATCTGATGGATGCACAATGCTGCTCTCCAATCATATAAGAGTCGAAGCACTCACAGCCTGGGTTGATGCCCGACACGCGCACGTAGAAGCGGCTGAACTTGGCAGCCAGCAGCCTGACTAGGTGGTCGGTGGCCGCCTTGCTCGTGGCGTAGCTGGTCAAGTCCACATTGGTAGCGTTATGCATGCTAGCACAGGAGCTCGTGATGACGATGACGCCGCGGCCGTCATCCTTGCCCTTGCGGCCGCCTCCTAGGTCGAGCTGCGAGGCCGCCGCCAGCAGAGGCAGCAACGCGACCGAGAGGAAGTAGTGCGCCGTCGTGTTGACGCAGAATGTGTCAGCCCAGTCCGAGTGGCGCGACGACCACATGGACGTCTGCAGCTCGGATAGAGAGGCGGTAAGGACGTCGCAGGCCACAGGAGGATCTCTCCTTATGCCGGCGTTGGAGATGAGAATGTCCAGATGGCTCTCTCGCTCGCTGATGTAGGCAGCGACGCGAGCAATGGCATCCTTGTCCGTGACATTGCAGGGTAATCTGGCCCGTGTACACATGTTATTAGTCGACATAGCGGACACGGCTTGGGTAAACATACCCGTATGCGCTTCCACCCGTCGACTGGCCGATTTCATTTAGCTCCGCCACCTTCTCGTCAATGGGCTCCGTTGGCAAGGCGATAACGTAGACCTTAGCACCGTTTGTCACAAGCCCCTGCCACAACCG